GCCAGGGGAGCCCTCTTTTATGGGATTCCCCTGGCTCGTAATCACACAATTCCATTGGCTGGTAAGACCCCGTTGCGAGTTAGCCAACCAGCAACGGGCATGAAACTGTATGCAGATGGAGAAGGGCAATCACCCTTAATGGGTGATCAGGATGCGCATAGGGGATTAAGGGGGGGAATACAAAAGAACACAACAAACATGGAGAACAGTCATACCCCAAGGCCACTGAAAGTGATGGAAAGGAATAGACTTTTTATCTTCCAAAAGTCAAGGAGAAATGAGTAATAGAAATAATTACAACATCCTCGCCTCTAACGGAGCCCTCAAAATAAACTGCAACACTCTTATCAGGCACACACACTCCCAAGCTAAGATATGTGTGCAACTGAAAAGTGGAACAGGGCCACCTCACAAGAAAGACTGTACAGGCTGGAGTTGAGGGAGTCCTTATTTTCTACCTGACAGGAGGGGTAGAGCTCTCTGACAAATTTTGGGGTTCCTGACGAGACAGAAACTGGTTGAGATCACCATTTTCCATGTATTCAGTAATCATGCAGAGAGGGTCATCAGTGATGCACACAGCCAGCAACCGGATTATATTGGGATCCTTCAGCTTGGACATAATCTTAATCTCCTTGAGGAAGTCGTTCCTGCCAGAAACAAAAGTCAGGCAAGGGTGAAATTAGTGAGCTATGTTGTCTTAAAAAAAAATAATACATGAAATGTCTGAATATTCAAAAGCACTATGCACAAGCTATGTGTGTTATTTTAATATAGGGCATTAGTTTACTGGGTCAGTTTGCCAATAATCCAATCTTTAATTTGGACTGGCAACAAACTGTCACAATCCCTTTGACTTCCCTCTTTGCCCAGGTTGTTTAGCAAGAAGCAAAAAATTAAAGCAGCAACCAAAATCCCAATATGCATATTAATTGACAAAGGACACAATGTACCAAGAAGGCTTCCAGCAAAGCGCCTCTGAAATGAATGGGAATGGCAAAACCTTTGCAATACATTGATTCCTATGACAATTATGCAATACAGTATGTTTGCCTTAATTGGTCATAAAATCATAGGAATAGGGGGAAGGGGAAATAAATAATGTTCCCCCCAAACTCTTAAAATTATTGTACCTTTTGTAGTAACACTGTATAAAATCAGTTGGAGATAACGGTGTGGACCCTTTTTTCCTTAGATGCATAGAAGTCTATATTCTTATGTAATGGCTGAATATACAGTATAGAATTAAGCATTTATTTTAATCACTAGTAGTGTATACGCTGTTATTTTTGTCCTGTCTTTGGTCTAGAATACCTGGGTGGAGGGGATGCTCTTTTTCATTTTCAGTACTCTTTAACCTTGGCATAGTCTCATCTTTGGCAAGATCAGTACTTGAAGAAAAATAAGATAACTGTATCCTATTTGGCCTGGGCAAAATCAAGCTGGCAGCAGCCCACTCGCCATCCATGTTTTGAAGTTCCCTGACAAGCAGAAGGGTCACAGGGTCTTTCTTATTCTCTTCCCTGCATTTCAGAATGTTAGGATCTTATTTTTTCAAAATGCATTGGAATAAATCTTTAAATACTCCTACTGGTGGGATTATTCCTTTGAATCCAAAAAGTATTTGTAACCCTGCTGGGCTGAGGAACAGAAGATACACCTTTATTTTTGCATATGTCTTAGTGCAACTTCTGCGTTGTATCTCATTTCCAAAAACAATTGCCTACTTTCCCACCATAAAGAAAAGGGTAACTACATTATTTTTGGAGAAACCCAATCTGAAGTGTCAGTTTTGAACATTTCGTCCAATTTTGCCAGAAATTTTTTTTTTAACATGAAGATTTAGAAATTTCCTGCACAAGTTTACTATATCTGAAATGTTATCCATTTTGTGACTTTTCATTTTTGGTCAATTCTGTATAATAACAAAAATGTTTCTACCCATTGACTGATTGTGGAGTCCTTGATGTTCTGTGAGCTTGGTTGTTTCCTTGCAGACATTTCATTACTTGACTCAATAACATCTGATGATACCTAGTCGGGTAATCTAACATCTGCAGGAAAACAACAAAGCTCACAGAGGACCAAGGACTCCACAGTTCAACCCTGACAACTGCAGCTATATCCAGCCTCTTCTTCTCTTTGTTCCAAGCACCTGGCATTCTTGTTGGCATCAGCTCTCAGCATTTTCACAGCCAGTAGGTCAGGCTGGGTGACACTACCATCCAGAATAGAATCCTGGTCCACAAATCTCTCCATTCCTTCCACTTCACAGAGGTGAACCTAGAGAAAAAGCAACAGGCAGTATTGGTTTGACAGGTCACTCTTGTTTACACAGACAGAAGGTCTCAATTTTAAGAAAAAACCCCATCAGATCTCACTTCCTATTCTCTGTGAAGAGTAGGAATGCATCCAAAATACTATTAATTTCACGGTCAAATATGTCTGGGAATGTTAGAATAATCTGTTTTTCATTCCAATGTGTTTATCCTTTATAGGAAGCCTCACAGACAAAACAATCATTATCTTCAATGATGTTAAACAGAAAAGAGCAACTTGACTGCCTAGAAGAAGCGGGTCAGTGTCCACTCTAAATCTCAGAGATTAATGATTATCATCCAATCCAGAAGTTTATAGTTTAAAAATCAATGTATGTAAGTCATTCATTACAAGAGACTGATATGGTGGTAGCTATCAGGATGGGATTTGTCCCCCTGAAGGAATTAAGCTATTCTTTGGGATATTTTTTGTATATTTTATTAATGTTTTACAGTAACAATCTTTAGTATTTAGTAAGCAACACGTCTGGGTTTACATGTTTGACATTAATAGTATTACAATTTCCATTCCTACCCTTTATTCTGTTTTTCTAACCATTTATAAAAATTTTCCCATGTTTGAAAGTATTCTGAATCTTGCTTCCCCTTCATTTTCAATGTGTGCCTATCCATTTCTGTACAGTCCAAAATTTTCTTAATTATGTCTTCTTCAGATGGTATTTCTTCATTTTTTCAGTATTGAGCAAATATAATTCTTGCTGCTGTTAATATATATAATATTAAGTATACACATTTTTTATCATAATTTTCTGGAATTATACCTAAAAGAAATAATTCTGGTTTATAGTCTACATATGCTCCTATCATCTTTTCTAGCCATCTATGTATTTTTGACCAATAGTTATTTGCTTTAGGGCATGTCCACCAAAGATGATAATACGTGCCTGGATTTTGTCTGCATTTCCAACAGTTGTTAGACATATTTTTAAACATTTTTGCTAGTCTTGCAGGTGGTAAATGCCATCTATAGAACATTTTATATAAATTTTCTTTATAAGTAGCTGTCCTTGTTATTTATAGTTTATTTACCATAGGTTTTGCCATTTTTCTAACTTTACATTGTGCCCAAATTTTTTTGCCCAACTTATCATTGTTTCTTTAACTTGTTCATCTTCCATCTTTAAATTTAACAGAAAGCTGTACAGTTTCTTAATCAATATGTCATCTGATGACAATAGTATCTGGTCTAACGCTGTCTGATCTTTGTAAAAACTGTATATTTCTACATCTTTCTCATATCTCATTTGCATTTGCAGATGTGGCCACCATGATAGCTCAATGCCCTGTTCTTCCATTTCTTGTTTAGTTTGTAGTTTCCATTAGTATTCAAAATATCTTTATAAGTCACAGGTTCCTCATAATTAATTAAATTTGGGTGTACGAACGCCTCCATTGTCGAAATCCATCCTGGTATTTTCATGTAGGTTCTTGATTTTACCTTTTCCCATGTTAAAAGGAGTGCATTTCTTACATAGTGGTTTTGAAAGTATTTAGAATTTTGTTCTTCCCATACCATAGGAAAGCATACCATCCAAGTTGTAGGTCATGCACTTCCAGGTATAATAGTCTTTTGTTTCTAAGAATTATCCATTCTTTTAATCATGTTAGTCCGGCTGCTTGATAGTGTCAACATTGCAACGATCTTGGCTAAAGCTATTTTTTTCTTCGTTTTCGGTTGCCACAGTACCGGGAGGGGGGATGAGTGGTTTTAAGGTTAGACTAAACAATAATTTGTCCCGTGGGAACCAAGGTCATAGCTGCCTGACTTTTGGCGGGCTGAGCCTTTCGTTAGAAAGCCCACCAAAGTATTCTATTGGGGAACGTGGATAATTAAAAAGTGCTGGGGTGGGAAGTTCAACTTTGTAACATTGTAATGCTTGGGAGGGAACTCCAGATTTGGTTTCACTTTTGACTGTGCCGATACTTTTGTAGCCAATAAATATGTTCTTTAAGGAAACCTCTTGCCTTGGAGTTCTGCTTTTACTGGACTCTTCTATCGGAGCCATGACAGATGAGTACAAGACTCAATCTGATAGCCCACAGCCTCCATTTTCTTTTGCTTCTTGTAACATTTTCAGTCTGATTTTTGCTTTTTTCCCTTGCCAGATAAATTTCAATATCGCTGTATTTAATTCATCAAAAAAATTGTTGTCAATTTTTATCGGTATTGTTTGAAATAAAAAAGAGTAGTTTTGGTAAAATGTTCATTTTCACAGTCACTATTCTTGCCAAGATTGATAGCTGTAGATTTTCCCATTTTTCCAATTTTTCCATTTTTCCAAGTCTAGTTTTGTTTTAATAATTTTACATAATTATCTTCTTTTATTGTTACACACCTTGCTGTTAGATATATCCCCAAATATTTAATTTTCTTAACTACTTAAAGATCTGTTTTTGTGATAATTGGGTTTTTTTTGTTTATCTGTAAGGTTTTTAATTATATTTAGTCTTTTCTCTATTGATTTTTCAGTCCTGCTACTTCTCCAAATTCTTCAATCTTTGCTAATAATTTAGGACTTGTCTCTAACGGATCCTCTAATACAGACATGTCAAACTGGCGATGTCACATGACATCGCGCAACGTATCGGGACGGTTTTGCCATTGCCAGCAAGGGGGTATACTTTTCATCTTTTATCTCCATTCCTTTAATTTCTGGATCCTGTCTAACATTCCTGTTCAATACTTGCAAAGTTAAAATAAATAATAGTGGGGATAATGGACACCTTTTCTTGTGCCTTTTTTAATGTTGAAACTCTCCGTAAAATCTCAGTTCACAATTATTTTGGCCGTTTGTCTATGATAAATTGTTTGAATTATATTCATAAAATTTTCTCCAAAATCCATATAGTTTAGTTGTTGGACCATAAATTGCCAATTGAAATTATCAAAAGCTTTCTGTGCATTTAAAAAAATCAAAGCCATCTGTTTCCCTGGGTGCATTTCATAATATTCAAATGTATCTAAAATCATTCTTAAATTATTCTTTATTTGTCTCTTTGGTAAAATCCATTTTAGTCTGAATGTATAAATTCAATCAAGAATCTTTTTAGTCTTTCTGCTATTATTGAAACAAAGATTTTATAATCCACATTTAGTAGAGATATTGGTTTGTAGTTCTTTATCAGGGTCAAGTCTGAGTCTTCTTTGGGTATTAGTGTAATATTGGCATCTATCTATTCGTAATTTGGCCTTTAGTACTACCTAATTACATACTTCTTGCATTGGTAAAATTAACGTATCTTGTAAACATTTGTAAAATTTTGCCGGTAGCCCATCTGGGCCTGGTGTCTTTTATCGTTTTTTGTCTTTTTATAGCTTCTGTCAACTCCATCACTGTTATTTTCCCATTTAGCATATTTTTAAAATACTCTGAGATTTTTTGGTAGTTTAGCATTTTCTAAGTATTGCCTTATTTTTTCCTGAGGAATTTCTTCTGTATTTAATTATTTTTTTATTGCATTGTTTTGACATTGTAGATCGCCTCTCATGTTTTGTAATTTGTTTATCAATTTCTTCTCTCTTTCTTTTTTCAGTTTATAAGCCAACCATCTCCCCAGCTTATTAGCATTTTCAAAAAAGTTTTGTTTTGCTCTTTTGATTTGTTGAGCCATTTCTTCAGCTTCTATTAGATTTAATTTATGTTTTATTATCTCCATTTGTTTTTTAAGAGTTTTCTTTTGTGGGTCTCTTTGTAGTTCTAATTCTAGTTTTGTGAGTTCTTCTTTAAGCTTAGTTTGTTGGGGTTTTTTTTGTCTTTCATCTTTTTCAGCATATAAGTTATGGCTACTCTTCTAAAATATGCTTTAGCTGTATCCCAAACATTTTGGAGTGATGTATCTTCTTTCTTACTTTTCTTTAAAGAAAAATCCCATTTCCTTTACAGCTTTTTGTATAAATTCTTTCTCTTTCAATAAGAATTGTTTTAAAGTCCATCTTATTTTTTTCTTTGTTCCTCTCCATGTCATCTTTATCGGATTATGGTCTGCCCATACATTAGTTTCTATCTCGATTTCTTGTATATCTCTTCTTAATTCAGGAGATATCCATATCATGTCAATTCTAGACCATGATTTGTGGCTGTTTGAATAAAATGTATATTGAAATTTCTTAGGATTTATTTCTCTCCTGTATCGTGTATACAAATTTCTTCTGCCATTCTGAAAAAAGCCTTAGGCAAAATGTTCCTTCCTTTTTTCCCTATTTTATTACTCCTATAGTCTAATTTTCCATCTACAATTGTGTTAAAATCTCTTACTAAACAAATATTTTGGTAGTCCATTTCCACTATTTTCTTGTGTAATTGTTGATAAAATTCTTCTTGTTTGTTATTCGGTGTGTTAATTGCTAGCATCAATGTCTGTTTTTGATTTATCGTTATTTCTACCATTAGTATTCTTCCTTCTTCATCTGAGTAGATTTGTTTGGGGTTCATTGTTTCTTTGATATATAAAGCTACTCCTCTTTTCTTTTATTGTACTAATGAGAAATAAAGTTTCCCAATTTTCGGGTATTCCAGAAATTTATAATGTTGTCTTTTAATATGTGTTTCCTGTGGGCAAACTATATCCATTTTTAATTTTTGTAATCGTGTAAAGAGTTTTTTCCTCTTTACGGGAGAATTCAGTCCATTTATATTTATTGAGAGCATCCCATTGTCCTTTTCCATCTTCTTCAATTATGTTTAGGATTTATTCTCCTAGTATAGTGATGGTGAACCTTTTAGAGACCAAGTGCCCAAAAACTGGCCCTGCCCCGCTCCACCCCCCCTGCTCCGTCCCCACTCTGCCTCCCCATCCCCCGCCCTGCCTGCCCATAGGACCACTCACTGCCTCCAGGGCCCGCAGCAGATCACCCTGGCAGCCCAGCAATGCTATGGTGGTCACACCCTCTGCCTGCGCCCTGCAGCATCAACTGCATGATGGGGTGTGAGGGCAGAGTCTTGT